CTTCAGTCTTCCCTTCCCATACCAGCTATTGACACAGATCTCAACAGATCTGGGTCCACTTCCTTGTGGAGGTAAATAAATGGAACCTTCTGGTTAGAAATAGTAAGTGCAGGTCTGGGGGAGCAGATCAGGCAGCAAAAGGAGATGAAATATTTCAGAAACAAAACCAGTGACTAGGAGGCTTGTCTTCATGTGATGGAGAAGGGCAGGGCAGGGAACAAGCATTTCTATAGTGGTTATTCTATGTCAGGCACTATATTAAGTGTTTTACAAATACTATGTCGCTTGATCTTAACAACAATTTTGGGAGGTAGGTGCTATTATTATCTCCATTTTACAGATGAGGAAACTGAGGGAAAATGAGGTTAAGTGACTTGCTCAGCACCACCTAGCTAGTTAGTGTCTGAGGTTGGGTTTTAACTCAAGTCTACCTAACTGGTCTACCCAGCTATAGTTGGGATAGTGAGAATAAGTAAAATTAATAATGTTTTCCTCTGCATAGAAAAAGTACTTGACACCTCTGTGTAATTCACATATGATTTTTTTTATAATCTGGAGAGATTATTACTTGAACATTATTAGGTTTCTTTTCTGCTATCCTCTTCTTCCTCTTTCTCCTTCAGCATTTCTGCCAACTGATAGGTGTCTTTAATCATAGATCATTAAGTTCTGTTTCATGATGATATCGCCAAAGGGTTCTATTTGGTCTCAGAATGTAACAAGGCATTTTTTTGGCTTCACATAAGTATGTTATAAAGGCAATCCGTATGTCTTCCTAGTATATGACAGAAAAAAATATGCTAATGTTCCGCTCCAAAAACCGTTAGCTTACAGGCGTTTACTCCTGACCACAAAGCACTTGGAACCATCAGTTCATTTGAGGCACATGGTTTCATTATATGGCCCCAAATAAATATTGTCCAGGTCAAATACATTGTTCTTTCTCCCATCCCACCCATACCCCCACCCTATGGCATAATACATTTGAACAGTGTTTTGTTTTTAGTCATAAACAGCCTTGGATTTGGGGAAAAGGAGAGTCTATGCACAGAGCCACTGAGGTTGAAAGGACCAAGTTCAGGTAAGGAAACTACACTAATGAGTGAAGCTTTACCTAATCTGTTGATGTTTATAGGAGGGCAGTCATCCAGAAAGATTCCCCCACATTTATTGCTATATCGGGATTCCAGGGCTAGAGGGTCTGACTTATCTTAAATAAAATATGGTGATTCCATTCTCAGAGGACTGATTGCATTTCTATCGTGAATATTCAAAAGGATGAAATTCAATTCTATGTAAAAAGATTTGAACTTTATTCCATTGACAATAGGGAGTTTTTGAGGGTTTTGAAGATTATTCGTATCTGTACTTAAGGAAGACAATTTGAGAAGAAGTGTGAAGGGTAGATTCTTAGAAGAATGAGACTATAAGAAGCAGGAGGATTAGTTAAGGGACTTTGGTAGTTGTTAAGAAAGTTGGTAAATTACTGGGTTAGTGAGTGTTGTAGTTGAGTGGAGGGGAAAGAAGTTAGACAAATTGTGGAGGAAGATCTAATAGTACATAACAGTTGATTGATTATATGACAGTTTGAGGCAGACAGAAACTTTAGATATAGGTTTTAAATACCAGATAGTGAATTTTGGTACAAATGACAGAAATGGGAAAGTCAGAAAAGAGAGCAGGTTTTGAGGAAAAGATTAAAAGTTTGGTTTTGGACATGTTAAGCATGAAGTACCAGTGCATATACATTCAGAATTATTCACATTTATCACCTTAAAGTTTACAAAATACTTTTTTCACAACAATCCTGTGAACTGTAGAAGGGAGATGGTCCTTGAAAAACAAGTACATAATCACTGATAGGAAGTCAATAATTTGGTCTTAAACTAACTCTAAAAACTGTCCATGACAGATGATCCCTTTATGTTTCAAATAAGCTTATTAGCACAGAGCCTGATCCATAGGGAGGGCTTAATAAATGCTTATTGACTGGCTGACTTAGAAATGGAGCAAGTCATAGGACAAACAGTTATTCTAATCAGAAGTAGGAAAACTTTCTATGTCATCAAGAAGATAGATGTAGCTGGATAAGGGGAGGCTTGGATAAGTCCCATGGAATTGGGAGAACAGAAGCATGGGCAGAAGCTTCCACAAGCATAAAGACTTTTGTATCAAGGCTGGGGTGGAATCTTAGGAAAGAGGCTGTGATACTAAACCTCCTTCCCTTTTTCTATCCTCCTACCCCCCCCAATTCCCAACTACAAATCCCGATTTTAGTGAAGTAAGAGTCTAGGTCATCTATTATGAATGTGGGGAAAAGTCACAATTAGTGTTATGAATGATATTTGAAGCAATCAGGATGACTGAGAATGAAGAAAAATGAGCTAGGAAAAACCTCCTAGCTGGTAATCTTTGAAAGAGTTGTTTAGTAGGGCAAACAGGATCCATGTAACAAAATGCTGAGAAGTGAATGGATCATGAGGAAGTAGAGACATAAGTTATATTTTTCAAGCAATTTGGCTTTGAATTGGAGGAGAGAAATGTGATGGTAGATACTTATACACACACACACACATATGTATAAAGAATTAAGGAGATTAGAGAATGTTAATAAAGACATGGAGAGGGAAAGATTAAAGATGGAAGGTATCAGCCCCTGAAGTTGGTACAAAGATATAACAATAATTTACATTTATGTGGTACACTTTTAGCTACTGCTGAGTAGATATGGATACTAGAGATGGACATCTAGTGGTCAAAACAGATATCACCCAACAATTCCAGCATGGTTGACAGGATCTAGAATGTGATTGATAAGCTAGCCATTCCTATCTTAAGGGATTGGGAGTGGGGAGTAGTTAAAGAGGCATGAGAGAGAGCAAGTGAGTCATCATGGAGAGCCAGCACACAGGACTAGGGAATAGTTGCTGTGACTAATGGCTTATTCACTTATGACTCAGAGAGAGGCAATCCTGGCTACTAGAAAAAATAATCAAGATAATGACAATGACAACTATGATAATGACAATGATGATCATGATAATTATAAGCACGATAACACAGAGTGAAGGAGAAGTGGAGGGAGAGGGAAAAGGAGAGAGAGTAGAGGGAGAGGATTATAAGGTGGCTTCACTCCTGAGTGATACTCAGAGATCATCTCTCACATAAGAGAACATTTGTTAGGAGAGAGACTGGTTTATATTTGCAGTTTTGCAGAAGAGAAAATCTGTGGTTGGAGGATTGAGCTGTAGATAAATAATTATTGATTCGGGTTACAATTGTGCAGAGCAAAGAAAGAAACTTAGACTTTCATCTTTCTAGGCAAATGAATTAGTAGTTTTGGGTAGGGTAGGTTGTAACTAGCTGGCTAGCTTTAGGAGTCAGGGCTATTTTTTCCTGTTGCCCAATTTGAAAAGAGAAGCGCCCTTCTAGTCAAGATTTGCTGATAAATTCTTATTACACAAATTCAACTTTACGTAATGAATTCTAAAAGAAATCTGCATCCCCTCCCAATTTTTGTTAACTCTACTGTATAGCACTGTTCTCTCTCTCTCTCTCTCTCTCTCTCTCTCTCTCTCTCTCTCTCTCCTTGTCTCTGAGCTTGGTGCTCCCTAGTTTCCCCTCAGAAACCCCACCAAAAATCCTAAACACAAAGAAAGAAACAAACAAAAGCCCTCCAAGGTGGAGGGACCACTACTTCTGAAGCCTGATTGGGAGTGTGGCTTTAGACTTCCAATGGCACAAGAGAAGACCTTTGTCCCACTCTGCCCACCCACCCCTATGTGTCCACCCCTGGCATATATCTTCTGTCTGCAATTGAGTACCAAATATCTGTCTTCATCCCCCACATTTTACCTGTCCTCTACTATTTGTGGCTGGTCCCCATGGTTCTGTCCCCAGGGGGCATTCCTCCTCTGGGGTCTGGCCACACCTTCATGTGGTTGGTCCTAGGCCTCATGTTCCACCCTTTGCTTTCGATTCTCTGCCCCTTTCCCACATGAGACCTTGAACAGTATGCTGGCTCCCTTCCACCAATGTTGTATAAATCCTCCCTTCCTCCCTCCCTGCCTCCATTCCTTCCCAACATGAGCAAATTCAAATTAAATAAAAATCACTTTACATAAAGGTCAGCAGAGAGGTTCACTTATATAAAGATAAAACTGTCTGTGGTCCCACCTATACAAAGGTGGTGGCAAATAGGAGTGAATGATTAGCCTTCCTCACCTGCCCAGTGCCACTCTTCAGCCTCTGCTCATTTATATAGAACTTTAAGGTTTATAAACTATTATCTTTATAACTCTATGAGCTAAATAGTACAAGTATCGTTTCCCACATTTCATACATGAGGAAATGAGGCACAGAGAGGTTCCAGGTGACTTGTCCAGCTATACACCTAGTAAGTAAGTTTCACAACTCTCCTAATTCTAAGTCCAATACTCTTTCCCTTACACCACACTGCTTCTCCTTAATATAATCCTTGATGAAGTGAAAGAGATCACCCTTGTGGAGGAAGTTTGTTTCATCCTTTAAAACAGGAGGGTGGTTATTGATATGTTCCAAGGGATAGGAGAGGGAAGTTTGAGGAGTTCTGATTGGATATCCCTGATCTCAGTGAAGTAAGAGGCCAAATCATTTTTGGTGAATATGGAGAATAAAGGCAGGTTTAGAGGCCAGGATTTATGGAAAGAGAACAAGAGTCAGGTCTACTTTTTACTAGCTGTGAGACTATTTGAAAGTCACTTAATCTTTCTGAGCCTCAATATGCTCAGTATCAAAAAATTGAGATGTTAATATATCAATATCCTGCTTGCTTTGCGTGGTTACAATGAGAATGATGTGAGATAATGGATATAAAGTGATTTGTAACCATAAAGGGATACATACATATGACCTAATAGTATCTATATGTTTTTCCAGTAGTCCCAGGTAGAGGAAAACAGAAACATAAGATGCTTTGTGGCCATAACTTTTCATGTTCTTTCAGTAGACCCATAAGCAAGATGAAGAGCAGCAACCTCACTTCAGTGACTGAGTTCATCCTCCTTGGCCTCTCCAGCTGGCCTGAGCTCCAGGTTCTCCTCTTCCTGCTCTTCCTCATGGTCTACCTGATGATCTTGCTGGGGAACCTGCTCATTATGTTGTTGATATTGAGGGATTCACGCCTCCATACTCCTATGTACTTCTTCCTCACTAATTTATCCAGTATAGAAGTATGTTTCACATCCTGTGTGTTTCCACAGATGCTGGTACACTTCTTGGCAGAGAGAAAGTCCATCTCCTTCTCCCTCTGTGTCATTCAGTTCTACATATTCCTGTCCTTTGGCATTGCAGAGTGCTATATCCTCTCAGTGATGGCCTATGACCGCTACGTTGCCATTCGAGACCCCTTAAGGTACTCAGTCACAATGAACTGGGGGATTTGTGGGATGCTGGCTGCTGCCTCATGGTTCGGTGGCTTTATCTTTTCTGCAATAGATACAGTTACGACATTCCAGCTCTCATTCTGCCACAATAATGTTATCAATCATTTTGTGTGTGAAATGCCTGCCCTACTGCACCTCTCTTGTACTGATACAACCCATGCAGAATTGGTCATGCATGTTCTCTGCATCTTTACCCTTCTGTCCCCTATCACATTCATCATCCTTTCCTATGTACACATCATCATTGTTGTTCTGAGAATTCGCTCTCCTCAGGTTCGAAGAAAAGCCTTCTCTACTTGCTCTTCCCACCTTCTGATTGTCACCCTATTTTTTGGGACTATAATGTCTCTTTACTTAAAGCCTAAGTCTCTATCCTCTCCAGAATACAATAAGATTGTTTCTGTGTTTTATGTGGCTTTCACACCTGCCCTTAACCCTCTCATCTATAGCCTGAGGAATAAGGAGGTGAAAATGGCCCTGAGAAAATTTTGGGGGAAACCTGAAAGTGCTTGATTCCACACATCTCATTACTGAATCTATATGAGGAAAACTTGAGCCAAAAGAGTCTCCTTGATATTCCACAATTTAAAAAAATTAAATGTTATATATACAAATATTTCCAATTACATTTAAAAATAATTTTTACCATTTTCTGAAGTTTGAATTCCATATTCTATTCCTACTTTTCACCTTTCCCCCTCTTTGACCAGGCATACAATCATGCAATTTGATGTGAACTATATGTATGCAATCATGCAAAACTTATTTACACATACTGTAAAGGAAAACAGAGGCAAGAAAACAAAATAAAGTAAAAAAATGCATTCATACTCCATCAATTCAGTCTCTGGAGGTGGATAGAATTTTTCATCATAAGTCTTTCTGAATTGTCTTGGATTGTTGTATTGCCAAGAATAGTTGTCATTCACAGTTGATCATTTTACAACACCGCTTTTAATGTGAACAATGTTCTACTGGTTTTGCTCATTTCACTTTGCATCAGTTCCTACAAGTCTTTTCAGGTTTCTCTGGTACAAACATGCACATCATTTCTTATAACACTATAATATTCTATCACAATCATACACCACAACTTTTTCAGCCATTCCCCAATTGATAGGCATCCCATCAATTTCCAATTGTTTGCCATTACAAAAAAAGAGCTGCTACAAATAGTTTTGTACGTATAAGTCCTTTCCCTTTTCCATTTTTTTTTCTCTCTTTGCGATACAGACTCAACAAAGGTATTGCTGTGCCAAAGACTATGCATAGTCTCACAGCCCTTTGGGCATAGTTCCAAATTGCTTTCCAGATTGGTTGGAACAGTTCACAACTCCACCAACAGACCATTAATGTCACAGTTTTTCCACACTTACTTCCTTTGTCTTTTTCCTTTTCCGTCTTATTAGCCAATCTTATTGGTGTAAAGAGGTACCTCAGAATTGTTTCAATTTACATTTTCCTAATCAGTAGAGATTTAGAGGATTTTTCATATAATGAGATAACTGATTTTTTTTTTCTTCTGAAAAATGCCTATTCATTTTCTTTGACCATTTATCAATTGGGGAATGACTTGTATTCTTATAGATTTGTCTCAGTTCTCCATGTATTTTAGAAATGAGGCCTATAGCAAAGAAACTTGCTGTAATTCACCCTCCTCCCACTCCCAATTTACTGCTTTCCCTTTAATCTTGCCCTCATTGAATGTGTTTGTGAAAAACCTTTTAATTCAATGTAATCAAAATTATTCATTTTATTGACATAATGCTCTCTATCTTGTTTCATTATAAATTCCTCCCTTATCCACAGATCTGACCATAAGATACTCCATTCTCTAACAATTTGATTATTTCACACTTCATGTCTGAATCAGGTACCCATTTTGACTTTATCTTGCTATATGGTGTGAGATGTTGGTCTGTACGTACTTTTTTCCAGTTTTCCCCAAAATTTTTGTCAGGGAATTCTTGTCCCAAAAGCTGTGGTTTTTGGATTTATCATATACTAGATTGCTGTGGTCATTTATTATATATCTAATCTATTCTACTGATTCACCACTGTATTCCTTAGATAGTACCAGATTATTTTGATGATTACTACTGGTATTGGGGTTTGAGATCTAATATTTCCTTCCCACTTTTTTTATTGATTCTGTTGATATTCTTGACCTTTCTTTTCAAGTGAATTTTGTTATTATTTTTTCTAGCTCTATAAATAATTTTTGAGAGTTTGATTGCTATGATGCTGAATAAGCCGACTAAGGTAGAATGATCATTTTTATTATATTAGCTCAGCTGACCCATGAGCAACTGATATCCCCAATTGTTTAGATTTGATTTGATTTGTGTGAAAAGTGTTTTGTAATTGTGTCCATATGGTTCTTGGGTTTGTCTTGACTAGTAGACTCCCAAGAATTTCATGTTATTTATAGTTATTTTAAATGAAATTTCTCTTTCTATCTCTTCCTGTAGAACTTTGTTGGGTATATATAAAAATACTGATAATCTATGTGGGTTGATTTTATATCCTTAAACTTTGCTGAAGTTGAGAATTTCAAGTTGTTTTTGAATTGATTCTCTAGGATTCTCTCAGTATCCCACCATATCATTTACAAAGAATGATAATTTTATTTCCTCATTGCATATTCAAATTCCTTTAATTTCATTTTCTTGTCTTAATTCTATAGCTAGCATTTCTAGTATAATATTTAGTAAGAATGTTGGTAATGGGCATTCTTGATTCACCCCTGATCTTATTGGGAAGGCTTCTAGCTTTTCCTCATAAGCCTTACTGATGGTTTTAGATAATACTTATCATTTTATGGAAAGGTATATTTATTTTTAAGCCTTCCAGTGTTTTTAATAGGAATAAGTATTATATTTTGGCAAAAACTTCTTCTACAGCTACTCAGATAATCATATAATTTTTGTTGGTTTTGCTATTAATATGGTCAATTATGTTTATAGTTTTTGAACTATTAAAACAGCCCTGAATTCTTGGTATAAATCCCCCAGGTCATAATGTATGATCTTTGTGATATATCACTATAATTCCCTTGCTAGCATTTTGTTTAAAAATTTTGCATCAATTGTAATTGTGGGAACTGGTCTTTAGTTTTCTTTCTTTGTTTTTTGCTCTTCCTATTTTAGATATAAGCTCCACATTTATGTTGTAAAAGGAATTTGGTAGGACTCCTTTGTTTATTTTGCAAATAGTTCACATGGTACTGGAATTCTTTACATGTTTGATAGAATTCATTTGTGAATCCATCTGGTTCTGGGGATTTTTTCTTAAGGAGATCATTGATGGTTTGTTCAGTATTTTTTTCTAAGATGGAGTTATTTCCTTTTATGTAAATCTGGGCAGATCATATTTTTGTAAATATTCATCCATTTTACTTAGTCAGATTTATTGCCATATAGTTGGGCAAAATAGCTCTTAATACTTATTTTAATTTCCCCTTCATTGGTGGTGAATTCACTCTGTTCATTTTTGATACTGGTAATACGTTTTTCCTCTTTATTTAAATCAAACTAACTGATCTTTTTTTTTCATAAAACCAGCTCCTAGTTTTAATAGTTCAATTTTTTTTACTTTCAATTTTATTAATCTCTCCTTTGATTTTCAGGATTTTGAATTTGGTGGTTATTCAGGGATTTTAAGTTTGCTCTTTTTTTCTTTTTAGTTGCACTCCCAATTGATTGATCTACTCTTTCTCTATTTTATTGATGTAAGCATTTAGACATATACAATTTCCCTATATGTACTACTTTGGCTGCATCCCATAAATTTTGGTATGTTTCCTCATTATTGTCATTCTCTTTAGTGAAATTATTGATGATTTCTATGATTTGTCCTTTTATCCACTCATAATTTAGGATTACATCATTTGCTCTCCAATTAATTTTTAATCTATGTTTCCAAAGCCCATTATTGAATAAATTTTTATTTCATTATGAGCTGGAAAGGGTGCATTTAATATTTTTGCTTATCTGCATGTGCTTGTGAGTTTTTATGCCCTAATCCATGGTCAACTTTTTGGTAGGTGCTATGTAACATTGAGAAAAAAAAAAGTATATTCCTTTTTATTTCCATTCAGTTTCTCCAGAGCTCTATTATATGTAACTTTTCTAAAATTCCATTCATCTCCTTACTTTCTTTCTTGTTTATTTTGTGATCAGATCTTTCTAGTTCTGAGAGGAGAAAGCTGAGATTCCCCCACTATTATAATTTTACAATTTCCTCCTGTAATTCATTTAACTTTTTCTTCAAGAATTTGAATACTCTACATTTTGCTTCATACATATTGAATATTGCTATTACTACATTGTCTATGGTATCTTTTAGCAAAATGCACTTTCCCTGTTTATCTTTTTTAATTAGATCTATTTTTGTTTTGCTTTGTCTGAGGTCTCATCTGCTTTTTGATGTTGAGTCGTTTCAGTTGTGTCCAACTCTCTGTGACCCCATTTGGGGGTTTTCTTGGCAAAGATACTATAGTGGTTTGCCATTTCCTTCTCCAGCTCATTTTACAGATGGAAATGGAAGCAAACAAGGTTAGGTGACTTAATCAGGGTCCTACAATTGGTAAGTATCTGAGGCCTCAGGTCCTCCTGACTCCAGGGCTGGGGCTCTATCCACTGCATCACCTAGTTGCCCCACATGATTGCTACCCTTCCTTTTACATTAGCTGAATCATAATAGATTTTGTCCCAGTCCCTTACCTTTACTCTGTATGTATCTCTTTTTATCAAATGTGTTTCTTGTAAGCAAGATATTGGAGGATTCTAGTTTTTAATTCACTCTGTTATCTGCTTCCTTTTTATGGGTGAGTTCATTCCATTCATTTTCTCAGTTATGATTACTAATTGTGTATTTCCTTCCATCCCATTTCCCACATTTATCCTTTTCATTTTCTCCTTTCACTCTGTCTCTCCTCAAATGTCTGTTTTATCTCTGACTTCCACATCCCAATCTGCTCTCCCTTTTATCATCCAGCCTCTCTTATCCTCCTTCCCTCCTACTTCCTTGTGGGACAAGATAGATTTCTATGTGTAACAGAGTGTAGATATTATTACCTCTTTGAGCCAGTTCCGTTGAGAATAATTTTCACGTGTTACTCACCCCCATCTTTACATCAGTGTAAAATCTCCTTTTTAAGTTCCTTTTATATGAAATAATTTACCCAATTCTATCTCTTCTTTCCCCCTTCTCCTAGTGTATTCCTTTTTTCTCACCCCTTCATTTTATTTTTTAAATAATCTTGCCATCATAGTCAATTCATACCCATTTCCTTTCTCTATATATACTCCTTCAAACTCTCCTAATAATGATAAAATTTTCAGGAGTCACAAGTATCATCTTTCCATGTAGTCTTTTCCATAAACAGTTTAACCTTATTGAATTATTTATTGCTTTATTTCCTGTTTACCTTTATATGCTTCTCTTGACTCATATTTTAAAGTCAGATTTTCTATTCAGCTCTGGTCTTTTCATCAGGAATGCTTTAAAGT